GCCGACGCAAGCGCCGGCCCGAGGAGAGGGGAAGCAGGGAAGGGAATGGGGGGGGGTTCGAACCCCCCCCTCGTTCCATCCCTGGTGGGGGGGTGGGGGGTTCGAACCCTCCCCCCTCCCCCCCCCATCCATCCAGGAGGGGGGGGTCCGGTTCCACCCCCCCCCCTCCAAGCGACAACAGAAACCCTCTCTTTCACATATATACATATGTATATATATATATATACACACAGATAGATATATACATATACACATGTGTATATATATATATATGTGCACACATACATATATGCGTACGACGTACATACGTATGTATATACGTACGTCCCTACGTACATACATGTATGATTGCATGTATGCATTCATGCATACATGCATACATTACACTACAACATGCTACATCACATGATATCGCAATACAATGTATTCCAACATATTCGGTTACATCAAATTACATTGCACTACTTACATACATACTCGTACATCCATACAGCCATGCATACATACGTGCATGCACCCAGATATGAATGCAAACATGCATAGACCCATGCATATATCAAAATCAACATCATAATCCTATATGATAGTATACTTTACAATGCAACGCATTAAATTACCTCACAGTACCTTACAATACATTGTACTACATTACATAACACTACATGCAGAGCACCGCACTACACTAGACGACATTGCATCACGCTGCAATATATGCATACAGGCATGCATACATATATACACGCATGCGAAATGAACATACACACATACGTACACACATACACACACACATGCACAACTACGCCTATAACTGTGTAAATATCTACACTACACACAAAGCCTAAATTGTGTCTAAACACACAAACATACAAAAACCATTGCGCGCGGTTCGCCCGCGCTGAGGTTCTCAAGAATCCAAGCTCGCGATGAGATAACGAGGGTTGGGCGACGGTTGCGGGTAGGACTTAATCCGAAAGCGCTACGGGAGAACGCAGTAAACAGCCCTTCAATGAGCAAAGAGGTACCCAGGAGAACGACGAAGACGAGGGGGGGGTTTGATTAGGGTAGAGGTGGTGGCCGTGGTGGTGATACTGGCAACTGTCGTTGTAGTGTTCGTTATAGTGGTAGTGATAGTCTTGCTAGTCTTGGTAGTGACAAAAGTGGATGTAGTGGCCGTAGTAGACGACGGCAGTGCTATAATAGTGATAGTAGTAGAAGAAGTAGCAGCTGGAATCGCAGTAGTAGTTGTCGTCGTAGTAGTAGTGCTAGTAATGGCAGTGCTAGTGGTAGTAGCAGTAGTAGTAGTAGTGGTAGTCGTAGAAGCTGCAGTAGGGATAACGGCAACAATAGTAACACTAGTAGTCGCCGTAGGTGTGGTAGTAGAAGTACCTGGAATAAAAGCAGCAGCAGTCGCAACGGTAGCAAAATAAGAGGTAGCACGAGAAGTATCAGTAGCCGAGGTGGTGGTAGAAGTAGTAGTCGTAGTACTAGTAATAGTACTAGTACTGGTACTGGTACTAGTACTAGTACTAGTACTAGTACTAGTACTAGTACTAGTCGTAGTAGTAGTAGTAGTAGTAGTAGTAGTCATACTAAGTGTAGTAGTAAAGCAGTAAGAGCCGAAGCAGTGGGAGTTGAGATAGTGTTTGTCAGAATGGCGACATAATCGAAATCGCAGCTACGTTGGCAGTAGCGGTGGTATTACGAGTACTACTAATAGTGGTGGTGGCCACCATGGTAGTTTGGCAAGGGTAGAGGTAGCGGTCGTGGTGGTGAGAATGGCACTTGTCGTGGTAGTGTTTGTCGTAGTGATACTGACAGTCATAATAATGATAATAGTGGGCGTAGTGGCCGCAGTAGACGACGGCAGTGCTAGTAGTAGTAATAGTAGTCGTCGCAGTCGCAGTAACAGTAACAGTAGTAGTAGTAGCAGTAGTAGTAGTAGTAGTAGGAGTAGTAGTAGTAGTAGTATTCGAAGTAGTAGTAGTAGTAGTAGCAGTAGTAGTAGCAGTAGTAGCAGTAGTAGTAGCAGTAGTAGTAGTAGGGGTAGTAGTAGTAGTAGCAGCAGCAGTAGTAGTAGCAGCGGTAGTAGTGGTAGTGAAGACAGTAGTACTAGAAATCGCAATAATACTAATCGTATTACTGACAGTAGTAACAAACAAGAAGAGCAGTGGCAGTCGTACGAATCACGGTAGTACTGGGAATACAGCGTAGTAGTAAGAGTGCTGGAACTTAAAGTAATAGTAATTGTAGTAGAGTAGTAGCAGTAGTAGTAGTAGTCGTAGTAGTAGTAGTAGCAGCAGTAGTAGCAGTAGTAGTAGTAGTAGTAGCAGTAGTAGCAGTAGTAGTAGTAGTAGTAGTAGTAGAAGTAGTAGTAGTAGTAGTAGTAGTAGTATCAGTCGTCGTAGTAGTAGTAGTAGAAGAAGAAGTAGTAGTAGTAGTAGTAATAAAAAGAGCAGTAGCAGAAGTACTACCAGCAGTCAAAGAAGGTAGCACTAGGAGTAGTAGTAGCCGAAGTAGTGGCAGTTGTGTTAGGAGTTGTCTGAATAGTGATAGTAGTAATAGTAGTCGTCGTTTATGGCGTCGTCGCAGCGGTGGTACTAGTGGTGGTAGTAGTAATAGTAGTAGTAGTAAAAATAGTAGTAGTTGTAGTAGTAGTAGTAATAGTCGTAGTAGTAGTAGTCGTAGTAGTAGTAGTAGTAGTAGTAGTAGTGGTAGTAGTAGTAGTAGTAGTAGTAGTAGTAGTAGTAGTAGTAGTAGTAGTGGTAGCAGTAACAGTAGCCGTAGCAGTAGCAATAACAGTGGCAGTAGCCGTAGTAGTACTAGAAGTAGTAGGCGTAGTACTTGCAGTAATAGTAGTCGTAGTAGAAGTACTAATAGTAGTAGCAGTAGTGGAAGTAGTAGTAGTAGAAGTAGTAGTCTTAGTAGTAATGATAGAAGTAGTAGTGGAAGTAATGCTAATGGTAGTAGTAGTAGTAGTAGTAGTAGTAGTAGTTGCCGTCGTCGTCGTAACCGCAGCCCTAGGCGCAAGAGTACTAGATAGAAGTGTCCAAAAAGGTTGTAGTACGACATAGACTGCGACCACGGCTAAGGCAACGGCTACTACACGTCAAAAGAGGAAGGCATATTCATGTCGTGCGAGGCCGCCCAGAAGAGTTGCTCCAGAAGCAAAAGGAAAGCAATACGAAACATAGTAAGAGTCATGATGACAAGTTCCAAGAGGAAAGAGAAGGAGCGCGAGCACGTCAAAGCCCTCGATCGGGCGCTCCCCTGGCTCGGGCGTCGACAAAAGTACCACTCACTGACCCGAGGCGACCCCGGCTGGCGCGCCGTTTCTTATGGGAGACACTGCACAACAAAAAAAACATAAACAGTCGGAGCTGCGCAAGCCTGCATTTCATTTTATATATATATGTATATATAACAAGACACAAAAACAACAACAACAACAACAACAACAACAACAACAACAACAACAACAACAACAACAACAACAACAACAACAATAACAACAACAACAACAACAACAACAACAATCATTTTACCCGAACGCTCAGTGTTCTCCCCAGTGCCAGGGTTTTCATGCGACGCCAGCCAATACCCCCACTTCGTGGGGGGGCAATGCAAGCTCTACCAAACATCCACACGACTCTCGGGAACCACCCACACCCAGCTTCCCGCCCTATGACGTCAGGACACTTCACTTCGTGGCGCGCGGACGATCGTGGATACTACACTGGCGTGGAGTACACACCCGCAGAGGTTGATCACTTGTTTGGGCCCCGCATGTGCCCCGCATGGTGCATTTGTTGCGTATGACATACATAGTACAGAGAGACAGAGAGAGAGAGAGAGAGCAAGACAGAGAGCCAGTGGAGAGAGAGATAGAAAGAGATTCGCAAGGGATGGTGGCCCTCGTAGGCTCGCAACCGTTGTTGCAGAAGGTCGAAGCACCTGAAAAGGTTCCTCGCAAAGGCCCTTTTAACAGAAATGTTTAAAATCTGGTGGGTTTCCTAGGAATCCGCAAGAGCGCGCGGAAGGACATTTTGACAATTTTTTCTGAGAAAACCATTGGGTTTTTGATGTTTTTATGTTAAAATCGCTACGAAACCTAAGGTTTTGGAAGGATTTCGTCTTGCGCGCACGAATGTCCACTTTACCTTATTTTTTGCAAGGGATTCTTGCAATTTGATCAAGTAAAAACAAGAATTTTCATTTTCTATTGTTTTTTGCAAGGGAAAACGAGCGTCAACAAAAAACCGGATCCGGAGCTCATCCACTTTTCTGAAGCTTTCGCGAAAAAATGATGAAAATGTAGCTGCGGCCTAGGCGCGGCGCAGAGGTCGCGCACCAGGGGTCCCAACAATAATAATTCTTTCGAAGGAATAATGTTCAACAACAACAACAACAACAACAACAACAACAACAACAACAACAACAACAACAACAAAAATGATCATGCCGTCTTTGCGTCTTCGAATTCTGCAGCCTCGCTGGGGGCAGCCCCTGGGACACCCTGGGCCGGGGGGCACCTCCGGCAGCCCGCCCCCCTGGCCCGCGGCACCCGGGGGCCGGGGAGACCGAGAGGCACCGACGACCGCCGCCGCTCCCCGGACCTCTCCCAGGGGCGCGCTCGGAGCTGGACCTCGGGGCGAGTGCGGCGATGGCGACGGGCACCTCCCAGGAGGCCCGAGGAGCCGAAAGCGACGGAAGGGTAGGCGGTGGTAGAAGAAGAAGAAGAAGAGGAGGAAGAAGAAGAAAAAGAAGAAGAAGCGCCACAGACATTAACTCTTGGCGCTTCGCGCGGGTTTCCTGGATCTGCGCTGGACCCCCCTCCCTGGCGCGCGGAGCGCGCGCCAGGGAGGGGCGCCGGAGGCGCCGCCAGGGGGGCCCAATCGAGGATCCAAGAAGTCCGCGCGGAGCGCCAAAAGTTCATGCTTATGGCGTTTCTTCTTCTTCGAGGTCGGGTATACACCCTGCCCTCCTCCGAGGGGCGGCGGAACCGCATGGTGCGGTCCCAGGAGCCGGAGAGGGCGAACTGGCCGTCGGAGGAGAGGACCACGCTGGACACGGGCTCGGAGTGCCCGGAGAGGGCCTCTCGCGGGGCCCGCCCGCGGGGACGAGAGCGGCGGCGGGCGGCTCACCCAGGGAAGAGGCCCCGCGACGTACGGCCAGAGGCGGGGGCGCTGGCCGTGGGAGGGGCGACCACGAGGTCGGGGGTTGCGAAAGGTGTCCCTGGCCCAACCCAGAGATCCGACGCTCGCAAAAAATTGGAGCGGGCGGCGTTTGGCCATTTTCGGCCTTCGGGGGCCCTCGCTGGGCCTCGGGAACGTCAAAAAAATACTCCAGACGAAAAGCCGGCCCCGGGGAAAGGGTCCGGACCTCTGGGGCCGACGCGCGCCGAAAAAGTTGGAGCAGCCGGATGTCTGGGAAGGTATATCCCTGGCCCAAGGTGCCCCCCGCGTGTCGCGCCATCTTCGAGCCCCCCAGGCCCTCCCTGGGCCTCGTCCAGGAGGGGCGCGCAGGAGGGAGGCCGTGTGGGCCTCCTTGGGGAGGCCTGGAGGAGGAGGAGGAGGAGGAGGAGGAGGAGGAGGAGGAGGAGGAGGGTGGGGCGCCTTGGGCCAGAGGCACTCACATAGCGGAGAGCGAGGGCAGATGATCCGCTCAAGATCGGTCCCTGGGCCCCTCCAGGGGTCGGAACGGGCCAAATGCTCCAGCCGCGTCTAGGCGCAGGGCTGGACCCAAACGGTGTTTTTCTTCTTGTTCTCCCTGCCAAAACGAAAAAAACAAAACACGGCCGAAGTCCAGCAGAACAGCGCTTAGGTCCGGCCCTGTCCAGCCGTGGCGACGACGATCGGGCCTTTTAGGGGGCCACATGCGAACCCTACCCCTACCCCCCACGATTTCTGAGGGGGAGGGTGGGGTTTACTTCGCTCGGGAGCTCCCGAACGAAGTGAACCCCACCCTCCCCCTCAGAAATCGTGGGGGGTAGGGGTAGGGTTCGCATGTGGCCCCCTTACCTTTCTCCCCCCCTCTTCTGCTGGCCAGAGCCGGTGCTGGGCCACCTCGGCGCCCCGGCCGGCCCTCGGTCGGCGGCAAGGGGCCCGACAGGGGGCGGCAGCGCCCAGCTCGAGCAGACAGCGCCGCCAGGATTGAAGGGGCCCCAGGACACACAAATAGATACACACAAATAAAAAGATCCCCCATATTTTCCACCATGTTCTGGGTTTACGTCTTCCCCCCCACTTCCCATACTTTCCCATATTTTCTGGGGGATCGACGATTAATTGCGTCTGTGTGTTTTTTCCCCTCCTGAAGGATCGCGGGGGAGGAGGGCGTGCAGGGCTCTCCTGGCCTTGGATCTCAGGGCTGCCGCGCCCCCTCGGGCAGCGCGGGCGCCAGGAGGGCGTATACGCTTGTGTCGGGCGTGTCCCCCTACAGGGGGATGTTCGCCGAAAAATAAAAAGTACACCAAAAATACCCCAAAGAGGTCAAAAACTATTCAAAAAATGGTCCCCAGACTATTTTTGAAGTACTTTTTATATTTTTGAGGTATTCTTTATTTTTCGTCGAAAATCCCCCTGTAGGGGGACAGGCCCGACGTAAGTATGCGCCGACCCTGGGCCCAGGAAGCCGACCAGCCATAAACTGGGGGAGCCGTGGTCCTCACCCCCCTGGAGGAACCCATCGCATCGACGACCTCTCGAGAGGGGTGTCGACATCGATGGGCCCCCCGGGGGGGTGAGGACCACAGGCTCCCCAAGCTGTGGCTGGCCCAGGAGGGGCCTGGCCAGGGTCCGTGCAGGGGAGGAGAGCCAGGCCTTCAGGCCGCACGTCGGCTCGCCGGCGGCCGCTGGGGGCGAGGCTGGGCAGGTCCGCCTCCCTCTCCTCCTCCTCCTCCTCCTCCTCCTCCTCCTCCTCCTCCTCCCTCCTCCTCCTCCTCCTCCTCCTCCTCCTCCTCCTCCTCCTCCTCCTCCTCCTCCTCCTCCTCCTCCTCCTCCTCCTCCTCCTCATCCCGGGCACCCCTGGAGCGCCCTCAGCGAGGCGCCGCTGCTGGAGGGCATCCCGAGGCCGGGAAGCCGCCGAGGGCCGACGCAAGCGGCCGACAGCCTCGAGCCTCGAGAGTCATCGAGAACCGAGGCGCCCCGAATCCCAATAACACAACGAAATCGTGGCCTCACTGAGGCCCCCGTCTTCGCACAAGGGATCGTACATCTGGGCGGCTTGGTCCGATACACCTGCAGAAGAGACCCCCTCACCCCGAATGCACCCAACCCCTCGTAACTTAGGTCCCGTCCCATAGGCTTATGGGTACTCTTACACGCCCGTCGTTGAAACTAGGTATTTCTGCACTCGCAGATCCCAATCTATTTGGGGCGCCCTCCTACTTCAATGATCGAGTGGCTTTCTTTCATCCCGCCTCCTCCGGGGGCGGGCGGAAGCCCCATTTCAGAAGCCGGGCGACGGCTGGCGAACCCGTGGCTGCTAAAACGGAGCTCCAGAAAATGGGTTGCTTTCTTCCGGGAAGCAGCCCGTTTACTATTCGGCTACACGCAAGAGTGGCCCTAAGTAAGAGTGACCTTTGGTGCGCGGCATTAGGGGGGCGCGGTGAGCCAAACCCAAGCGCGCAAGCCGCTCATATCGCAGCGCGTTCGGCGATTGGGGGACCCATTTGGGCCCGCACCAAAGGTCACTCCGGCGAAAGGTCACTCTTACGTCTAGCCGAACTATTTAGTGCGCTGAGCTTGATTCCGGGAATATGTTTTCTCTTCCGGGGAGGCCAGTTTAGCAACCACGGATTCGCCGGCCCTCGCCCAGCTTCCAACACAATCTGCGTTCACCGCCTCCCTACAGTCGGGGCGTTTACCTAAGGAACCCTAAGCAAGGAACGGGGCCCCTTTCTCCCATACGTTGAACTTCGATTTCCCAGGGAAAACCTCAGGAAAACTGAAGGCAAACTGCAGAACAATCAAGGAACGCCGAGCCCCTCTCGGACGAACAGGGTTCCTTCTTCAGTGCCCCGACTGTACCTCGTGTTCCTACCCACTTCTTCCGACCGATGGGCTCCCTCGTCTCTCCCTGGGCGAGCGTGCGTCGCGCGGGCCTCACGGAGGTAAGAGGGGGCGCTGGCTCAGCTCGTGGCGCGGTGGCAACGCGCGACGCGCGCCTCCGCCCTGGTGTCCGGCACCTGACTACACACACATCCCAACCCGGAACTTGGGTGGGCCTGGGACCTCAGGTTTAGGCCGGGGTGGTTTGGTAAGTAGTCTCAGGTCGGGCATGTCCTCCTACCGGCGGATGCTGGACGACGAAATAACCATGTGTCCGTACATGTTCAAATGTGTACACATATATATATATATATATATATACATATATATATACACATATATATATATATACATACATATATATATATATATATATATATATATATATACATATATATGTGTATATACATACATATATATATATATGTATAAGCCATGCGAAATGGGAAATGTATGTTTTATAAGTTGTTCCACAAAAAAACAAAAACTCCCGATACTATTATTTAACTTTCTCTGAATACTCCTCCTGTAGAGGGACAGGCCCGACGTAAAAATAGTGAGCCCCAGGGCCCGCTGTCACGGCCCGATATGGCTCGACAAGCGCCGCCGCACAGCCGACGGGTCGAGGGCGCACCGGCCGTGAGGTCCGCCGAGCTTGGTGGCGCGCACCAGAGGGGTAGGGGGAGGGGGGAAGGCGCTTCTTAGGAGGAGGCTGCGGCTTAGAAGCCGCGGGCCTTCCATCAGTAGAGAAGAGACGGCCCGCGCATTCCAGGAAGCAGGGGTGCTTCTAAGAAGCCTCCCCCCTCCCCCTACCCCCCCTGTGCGCGGGGTCGACAGGCGAAAGGCCCCGCGGTGGCGCGCGCACATTCCCTCGCCGTGGCCTGCTGCTGCCGGCAGTTCGTGCTCCTCGCGCTTGCTCCAGGCGGGCTGCTCCACGGCGACACGAGGAGGGGGGGGAGAAAAAAAAACGCCATAAACATAAACTCTTGGCGCTCCGCGTGGATTTCTTAGATCTGCGCTGGGGCCCCCTACCTGGCGCGCGGAGCGCGCCAGGGGCGGCGCCGGAGGCGCCACTGGGGGGGCCCAGGCGCCGATCCAAGAAATCCGCGCGGAGCTCCAAAATTTTCTGTTTGGGGCGTTTTTTGTTCTTCGACATGCGCTGGCTCCAAGTGGACTGTTCCACGGTGACACGAGGGGGAACGTTAGGGGGGGGAGCTCAGTGGGGGGGGGGGGGGGGGCGGCACACCGAGCTGTACTCGGCGAGGGGGCGGGTTGTACATCAGGAGCAACTGAACGAAAGTTAGAACCTGGGGGAAACGTGAACGTGGAGAGGAGGAGGTCGAAAAACAGGCCGTAAACGTCGAACATCGGGACGAAATCGCTCGGATGCCCTAGGCTCTCTTCAACACCTCGCAATCCTCTGCCATCTGCGCCATGGCAACGAGCCCCATGCGGCAGACGGCCACCTGGAGTTCCGCTCTGCGGGCCGCGGACGCGTGAGCCGGGAAAGTGACCCATCCCGTCTTCAGCGTCGCCCGCGGCTGGCGTGCCCACCAGCCAGGTGGGATGTGGCACGCGTCGTTCAGCTCCTGCCGGAAACCCGCCAGGGCGGCGCACTCGGCCACGTAGTGGCGCGCACTCGGTCGATGGGGACCCCCGCAGGACGGGCAGGCCGCCGTGAGATCGGGCCTGGTGGTGCTCCATCTTCTCGTCGGGCTGTGCGTCGCTCCGCAGCGAAAGATCTTCAAGTGGATCCTGTCCTCCAGGGTCAGCGAGTCCCGGAAAGTGGACCACGCTCGTGCCGAGGAGGCTTCAAGGTCGATCTGGTCGACCCCCTCCGAGTCGTGGCGAGACGCGGATGCGTGGGCAAGAGCTCTCGCCCGGCATACTTGGCGAAGGAGGTGCGGCACCATCTCTTCGTCGCTCCAGAAGATGTGTCTGCGCCCGCACAATCGGCGAACTCGGACATCAGGCTCGTCCACCGAGCGTCGGAACTGCACTCCGCGCTCTGGGTCGTACCGCAGGAACTCGAAACCTATGGCATCGAAGAACGTCGTGAAATTCACCTCGAGGAATGTACTCCAGCGGAGGTCCCAGGTGGTGATGCGGTCAATGGCCGTGAGCACCGCGCTGAAGATGGGGTGCAGGTCGATATTCGAGGCCCAGAAACGGCCTCGTCACCACCAAGTGCACCTCGTCGAAAGCACCGCTGACATCGCTGCTGGGACGACGTCGGGCGGTGGCAGAGAGAAAACCGGGGAACACCAAGTCCACAACGGTTTAGCGTAGGCCCGGACCGCCGTGGCCCTGGCTTCGCTGCCTCCCGGGAGGCCTCGAATGGCGTGCAAGCACTCGCGGAGCTTGGTCCAGCCCCCGGCAGGCGTAATCGGCTCATCCGGAGCATCAGGGACAGCGAGGATGCCGATGTGCTCGATCTGCGTCCTGTCCCCTCGCTTCCAGACCTGGCGCTTCCCGACGTTCTCGATAGCGCCCGTGCCTGAGTCGAAGGCGCTGGTGGCCTGCACGTCTGACTCCATCTGCGGGACGGAGTCGAAGACGGCGGACCTGTCGTCCATGAAAAGGAACTTGGTGCCGTTGATCTCCCAGGGGGAAAGTACGTGGCACAGGACCTTCGGCGCCGTGCTGCCCCCTTGAGCGAGGCTGCGCGTAGGCCAGAGTGTCTCACTGGCCAGCTCTCCCGCCACCTGGCACCTCCGAGGGCCCCGCCAGGCAGCGTTAGTCACCGCCCGCACTCGGCGTGGCGTCTGGGCGTTGCGGAACGCCGCGTCTGCCACCGCATGCGGCACGTTGTCGTAGCACTTGGACAGGTCACGCTCCAGTCCGCACGAGCCGTGCTGGCAGGCGTGCAGCCACAAGCAGCAGGCGTGGACCACCGTGGAGCCCGCTTTGCAGGCGAACTGAGCGTCCTGTGGCGTGGGCAGGCTGGGCTCGCAAGCGGTGAGCCAGGCCCTGAGGAGCACGGAGCCCACCCCTATAGGCTGGGACTGCGTCGGGTCTTTCTTTGGCACCCCAACAACCCGCCAGGCGAAGAGGAAGTGCTGGAGCTCGGTGGTGGGCCTCTCGACCAGGAGGGTCTCGCAGGTGTCCCGCCATAGCGTGTAGAGTTCGAAAAGCAAGAACTCGAAATGCTCGGAGATCAGCTCGAGCTCGCTACAGTGCCAACCGTCATACCCTGCGCTGCCTTTGGCCTTGCGCACGGCGACCCGGAAGTCGGCGTAGGAGGGGCACCACTCCTCGTCGTAGGCGTTGGCGGTCTTCGGCAAGGGCTCGTGCGCCTCCGCGGCGTACTGTTCCCACCTGGCCGCGCACCTCTGCTCGTCGTAGTTGGGGTCTGACGGGACCCACACTCGCTTCCACTCCTCCGTCATGTCCTCGGCATTGAAACTGGGACACTCGGAGGGCCCATGAACCTCTGCAGTGGCTGCCCTCCACGTGTCCGTCGTGAAGTGCTGGAAGAGGCGGCGCCACTCGGAGCGGCGATCTCTGAGCAGGTCCCGCTGGATCGCGGAGATGGCCTTCGAGATCTTGCCGTGTGCCTCTGCGTGTGTCGGCCGGCCTTTCGGGCCAGCTGTCAACCGGCCCCGGAGGGCCGAGTCCACGTACTGGCGCAGAAGAGGGCCAGCGATGAGCTCGTCTGCATGGTCGCGGAGCTGGTGGGCAACGCGGCGACCAAGGCGTTTCAGGCGTACCAGCTCCATCGGCTCGGCGGGCCGCGCCGCCGGAGTCGTGGCCACCCTGCGCGAGGTAGGGAGGGATCCCTTGGGGCGTTCAGCGGCCCCGTCTTGTAATACCCACCCTTGGTGGGCAGCTGCCGTCAGCGCCCCCTCGGCCCGGGCGTGCCATCGCCCCCACCTCTCCGGGAGAGGGGCGGCGGCTGGGCAGGCCGGCAGGGTGGCATCCATGTGGCTCTGCAGCTCCTCGGTGTCGCTCACCAGCAGGATGGTCCCCGGGTCGAGCGTGAACCGTGTAGTGCGGCGCATTCGCGTAGCCTGCGCCGACGGGGCGGCGACCTGCGCAGAGAAGATCACCAGCCCGTGATGAGGAATGAGCGGGAGGAAGGCGACACTCTCAAGCTTCAGCTCGATGCCGGCCCCCACGGCTCGCGTAGGAGAGGTCCCTGCTAGGGTCGTAGGCGTAGTTGCGGCATACAGGACGGCGTGCGTCGGCAGCGCGCTGACGTAAGAGAGGCGCCAGTTCAGGTCGCCAGCGATGCACCACGGCACCGGCGGAGTACCACGAGCCACGGTGGATGTGAAATCCCACCAGCCCTTTGGGCGTGAGTGGTTTAGAAAGCTCTCTCTGTCCTCAACCCCCCCTTCTTCCCCTTCGGGGAGGGGTTTACCCCTCCCCATACCCCCTCCCCCTGGACGTGGAGGGGGCGCCCCGCGGGTCGTTGGAGGGTTTTTTTTTCGACTCTTGGGAAGGCCAAAAAACGACAACCCTCACGAGGATTCTGGCCCCGAGGGGGGGGAGGGAGTTTGGTCCCTGAACTCGTCGTCGAAGTAAAGAACATTGATTTGACTACGGTTTTGGCCCCACTTTGGCCTTCTGAGGGGGCCGCGTTCCTCGTCCTTCTTAGCAGAACCATTGATTTTACGAAGGTTTTGGGCTCATTTTGTCCTTCTCAGGGGCCAGCGCTCACTTGCGCTTCTGAGGAGGTCGCCAGAGACCCCAAGATAGCCCCAAGAGGCCCCCAGGAGGCTCCCAAGAGGTCTCCAGGAGGCCCCCAAGAGGCCCCCCAAGAGGCCCCAAGAGGCCCCCTCGAGGCTCCCACGAGGCCCCCAAGAGGCCCCAAGAGGCCCCAAGAGGCCCCAAGAGGCCCCCAAGAGGCCCCCAAGAGGCCCCCAAGAGGCCCCCCAGACGCCCCAAGAGCTCCAAGAGGCCCCCAAGAGGCCCCACGAGGAGCCCGAACGACTCACACCAGGACGAAAGACCCCGAACGACTCACACCACGAGGAGCCCGAACGAGTCACACCAACAAGGAGGAGCCCGAACGACTCACCCCAGGACGAGGGGCCCCAACGACTCACACACCAGGAGGGGCCCGAGCGACGCACACCAGGACGAGCGGCCCGAACGACTCACACCACGAGGAGGAGCCCGAACGACTCACACGCAAGATGAGGGGTCCGAACAACTCACACCACGAGAAGCCCGAACGACTCACACCAGGACGAAGAGCCCGAACGACTCACACCACGAAGCGCCCGAACGACTCACACCAGGAAGAAGGGCCCGAACGACTCACACCAGGACGAGAAACCCCAAACGACTCAAATCACGAGGAGCGCTTTCTCTCTCTCCTCCTCCGCCTCGTCCTTCTCCCGCTCCCCCCACAAGGAGGATGTACAAGGAGGCGGGAGGAAGGAGGAACAGGGGAGATATGCGGGGCCAAGCGGACATACGCCTGAAAAAACACGACTGACGGCATGCTTCGCAAGAGTTGCTGCTGTGAGATGGGCTGGTGGGGATACGCGAAGCGTAAAGAATTGACGACTTCCTCCGTCCAGGGGTCGGAGCGCACTGCAGCTGGCCCATACCCAGATGTAAAAACTCCCAGCTTGGTACGAATAGCAACTTCACGATGGGAAGCGGCTCGATGAACAGCAACACGCCCAAGAGATGGGCGCCAGAAAATGGCAGCGCCGCCCTACTGAACGGCACGCTTGGCGTTCCTGGGTGGAGGCGTGGAGCACACCACGCGCCAACCATACTTGAGCGCGAGTCTGGTGACCCACGCGGGCTTGGCGGAGGCTAGCCGGACCTCCTGAAGACATAAAACATGTGCGTGACGAAGCGCAGGAAACGTAAAGATCTCCTCCAAGCGGTCCGCCCGGAGGCTCGTGACATTGAGGGTGGCAACCTGCAGCTCCGTCGTCCCCTTCTCGCCACCCCCGCCGTCCAGGGGGTCTACGGCAGGTGGGCACCTTCAGCGAGCCGCGGCGGGCCGCTTCTTGGCGATCTTCGCCGCGCGGTGCTCCTGGCTCAGGCGCTTTTGGGGGGGCGATGTGCTTCTGGTCGGCGCGGTACTTCGCGAAGCGGATCTTGTCCTTCAGCTGCTTCGTTTTCCGCTGCTCGGGGTCGGCGTAGCGAATCTTGTAAAGCTCCTTCCGCCTGGTAGCGTAGGTCTTGGCAAACCGCTTGCGGCTTGCACTCTCCGCCTGGTGGGCCCTGTTGGCGGCCTCCTCTCCGCGCATCGCAGTGAGCATGGAGAGGCGCGTCATGGTGGCAGGCTGGGCCCTGCATGGGTAGTACCTGAACTGGGTCAGGTGAGTACTTTTGCTGCATGTAGAACACGTGTAGTGGTGCTGGATGCCCCCGCCCTTGAGGACCTTGGAGGACACCGTACGCTCATCGGGGCTGCACGCACCCGGCTGGACGCTCGCCGGCAAGGCCGCCTTCCATTTCAAGCGTGCTGCAAAAAGCTTCGCGCGGCGGGCCTCGCGAAAGGCAGGCCGGGCCCAGAAGCTTGCTTGAATGGCGCGGCGGCTGACGCTGCCGGGCTGGTCTTTCAGCCTGGGGGGGACGGCACCCTGGCACTCCCGCCAGTGGACGGTGGCCTTGTTGTACTGCCAGGCTGAGGCTTGGTTCCCCAAGAGGTGGGCAGGGGGGGCGGGTGGCGCCCACTGGCCGCAGGGGCACTTGAGGTAGTCGCCTTTGGCGTAGGCAACTGGCATCTCATCGTCTGGGTCGTCGGCGGGGATGCCGAGGATGCTTCGGGCTCCCCTGGAGGAGGCAGCCGCGGGGCGGCGCGTAGGGGCACGGCTGGCGGCTGCCGTGCTTGGAGGGGCGGGAATGCCCAGGATGGACATGGCCTGGGGGTCGAGACGCGGCGCCGGCGCGCGGCTTGAGGCGGCCCTGCTGGATGGGGCCGGAATGCCCAGGATGGACGCGGCGTCGGGATCGAGCGAGCGGCCCTTTCCCTGCAGGCCGCTGGTCGGGTAGCCCAGGGCCTTCTCGCGCCAGCAATCGAGGGTCTGGCGGTACTCGGTCGTCTCCTGCTGGTCCGGCTTCGGCTGGAGCCACTCGTAGTGGTGGTCCTCCAACTTCAACCACAGCTCTTTCTTCCGTAGTTTCCCGCCGCGCTCCCGGCCGTAGAGCACCCACTGCTCCGCGCCCGGTGCACGGGACCACACGTAGATGTCGACGTTCAGCCGCTTTGCGAGCAGCCGGACGGCCAGGGAGGAGGCAGGCGTTCCTGTAGTGCCGATCTTGTCGGCGTCCGCCGTGGTCGCCTTGAACGTCTTCTTGAGGGCCTCCTCCTGCGCAGCGAGGCGGAGATTGCCCTGGAGCCGGCCGCCGGGCTCGAAGTCGTCGGCGGTCGGGATGCTCTTGGACGGCGTGATGGCGGCCAGGCCCTTTGCGACGGCGATGTACATGCAGTCCCCACCGCCGCCACAGGCTCGGACGTTGAAAAATTTCGTGAAAGGCGGGGCGGACGGGCCAGCCGGGACCTTGGCGTGCTTGTTCGGGGGCGCCGCCTCGTGCGGGGCGGCCCCAGCTTTGCGAGCTCCGCCCGCAGGGTCGCCCTCGGCGGCGGCGGCGGCGGCAGCGGCGCCCGAGGGGGCGTCCGCGGGGGCGGCGGCCCTCTCCTCGGCAGGCGGGGGGGCGACAGCGGCGTCGTACTGGGGCGAAGCCTTGGGAGCTCCCCAGCGTTGGCGGGCCTCCTTGCTGGTCGCTTGGCGGGCGGCCTTGGCGGGGGCGCCGTTCTTCGAGAAAGCCCGGGACACGACGGCTCCGGACTTGAAGGTGTGGACTGTGGCTACGACGCCCGCCGGCGTGTCCCCGAAGAAGGTCCACGCACGGGCGCCTGCTCTGGCTGCGTTGGCGACGTTCTGGAAGCCGCGTTCCGTGGCCCAGGTGGTGAATTCTTGGGCAGTGACCATGTGTGCGGGTGCATTCCGCACATGCCATTTGATGGCATCAGCCTCTCCAGGATGTACCCCCGCCGCGCCAGCGACTCCCAGTTGGGTTTTTCCGTGAGGGCGGTACAACATGTGGCCCTGCCGCTGCTGGGCAAGCTGGCAGACCCGGTCGTAGTACTTGCGGGTGCCTTCCTCGTCCTCCTCGTCGGCCCTCCGGGAGAGCCATCGCGGGGCGATGGGGGCGTCCTGCTGCATGATGAAGGCACCTCTCGGTGGGACTGCTGTCCGGAAATCGGCAGGGTTGGCCTCGGTCGTCGAGACGATGCATGTGACCTCCGCGTCGTAGGCGATGGCACCTCGGGTACGCAGCACGCGCTCCGCGAGGACGTCCCCGAGGACAAAGGCGGGGGTGGTCTGCGGCTCCGCAGAGGCGACGTGGAAGAGGGGCCTCGTCGGCGAACTCCGCGGAGATCGTGATCCGAAAATTGACCAGCTTCAGCTTGGTGTCTGGGACGGGCTCGTCGTCCTTCATAGCCGCGTGGAGCCCAGCACACTTCGGCGCGGACTCGCTGAGGTAGGTGATGTTGGCCTTGGCGGAGCGGGGGCCGCGCTGGCCCTCGAGGAGGACCGAGTCGGGGCCGTTGCTGTCCAAGACGACGTAGGCGATGTTCTGGCGGTTCCCGAGGGCCTTCCTCGCGCGCTCGCACTGCTCGTACTCCGCGCGGGTGGCCGCCAGGATCACCATGGGCTCGATGGACTGCTCCAGGGAGGCCCGGACCGCGCTGGAAGTGACGATCTTGGCCTGTCCCCAGGGGTCCTGAAAAAGACGCGCCCTGACCTGGGGCGGCTCTTTCTCTTGGGGAGCCTCGGGCGCGTCCCGCGCCGAGGGCGATGCTCCCGGAGTGAAGGTCGAGATGACCTCCCGAAGCTTGGAGATGACCTGGGTCTGCGTGACGTTCATGCTGCCGTCCACGACGGACGGCAGGGAGCGCAGCTTGGCGGCGATCGGGATGTCCTCCCTCTGCCGCCTCTGACGCCTAGGGCGCGTGGTGGTGGGCTTTGAAGGCCGCGCCTCGGCACGGCCAGCCTTCGGCGTGGTGCGGGTGCCCATCTGTACTCGGCGATGCATCGCCGACGGGTCCTCGATAGGCCCCCGGTAGCGAATCTGCCCGTTCCTGGTCTAGATGGGCAATCGGGCCCCTATCGGCGATGCATGGGCAGATTAGGGGGTCGACGCATCCCCGCCCGAGCCTGTCGACCCCTGGCGTTGCCCCCGAGCTCTCGACCAGCCCCTGCCTGGCGCGAGCAGGGCTTCGGCCAGGGAGCCCCTCGGAGCCCGCCGGCCCGGAGCCTGTCCCCCCCCAGTAACGCTGCCCCCCTAGCAAGAGAAAGTAGCATAGCTTCTACGTCAGTGCACAAGACTGCTCCACCGACGAATCCAAGTCATCTTCCATACAAGTTGGCATCGAGCTCGTGCGAAGCAGCATGCTCCCCCCCCTTCCCCTGAGCCCATTTTCACCCCGTGACTAGCCACGGCGGCAGGCTCCCAGGAGCACAACGCGTCAGGGCACCCGGGAGCACAGCTCCTCCGGGCGGCGATGCTCTGCTCAGACCCCGCCTCGGACCCCGAGCGCCAGCCCTGGCCAGCCTCTCGGGCGCGTGCGTGGGTGTGCGTGGGTGTGCGTCTGTGTGTCTGTGTGTGTGTGGCGACGGTGGCCCGCCGCCCGCGGCCAGGCACAAAGGTGAGCTCGGCGCGGCGCCCCCTTTGGGGGGGAGGAGGCTTCCTGAGAAAGCAACCGGATTGCGTTGCTTGGCACTGCCTGGCACACTGCTTTGCTTGGCAGTCCTTCGTACTGCCTGGCGCTGCCTGGCATTACGTGGCATTGCCACGCATTGCCTGGCGGTGCCTGGCATTGCCTGGCAGTACCTGGCATTGCCTGGCATTGATTTGCTTTGCTGTCTTGCTGTGCGTTGCTTGGCATTGGTTTGCGTAACTCTGCGTAGCAAAAATCTGTGTATCATTGCAGTGCCTGGCATTGTCTGGCATTGCTTGGCATTTTCTGGCATTGCCTGGCAGTGCTCAGACTGCTTGGCGTTGCTTGGCTTTGCATTGCATTGCGTAGCATTGCTTGGCATTGAATGACATTGCCTGGCGTTGTCTGGGGTTGTCTGGCGTTGCTCGGCATTGCCTGGCATTGCTTGGCATTGCTTAGCATTGTTCGGCATTGCTTGGCATTACGTTGCATTGCTTCGCATTGCTTGACATTGCGTGGCATCTCCCATATCGAGAGATCCGTGAAGGAATCCCACCAGCCCTCTGGGCGTAGGTGGTTCCGGGAGTTTCCTCTTCCAACCTCCTTCATCCCCTTCGGGGAGGGGTTTACCCCTCCCCCTAACCCCCTCCCCTGGACCTGGACGGGAGGTTTCGCTGGTAGTTGGAGCGTCCAAAACGGCCTCGGCGAGGAAGCCAAAATCATCGGTTTTACTAAGGTTTTGGCAGATTTTAGAGGCTCTCGAGGGGGGGTGCTAATTGAGGGACCCCCTTCCTTTGATCGATCACCTCCAAGATGGCCCCAAGAGCGCTCCCAAGGCTCCCAAGAGCGCCCCAAGAGGGCCTCAAGAGGCGCCCAGGAGGCCCCAAGAGGTCTCCAAGAGTCCCCCAAAATACCCCCAAGAGGCCCCAAGAGGCCCCAAGAGGCTCCCCCGAGGCACCCAAGACGGTCCAAGAAGCTCCCAGGACCGCCAAGAGGCCCCCAAGACGCCCCAAGAGACCTCAAAGAGTATCCCAAGAGACATCCCAAGAGACTCCGCGAGGCATTCAAGAGGCCTTTGACTCTTCTGATCGCCCGTATCCTCCTCCTCCTCCCCCTCATCATCACCATCCCCATCCTCATCCTCATCATCATCATCATCATCATCATCATCATCATCAGCATTAGCATCAGCATCAGCATCATCATCATCATCATCATCATCATCAGCATCATCATCATCATCATCATCATCATCACCATCACCATCACCATCACCATCACCATCACCATCACCATCACCATCACCATCACCATCACCATCGTCAAGACCACCACCATCATCGTCATCATCAGCATCATCAATATCAAAATCAACATCATCATCCGCCTATTCCTCCTCCTCTTCCTCATTCCTCCCTCCCCACCCTCATCATCCTCCTCCTCTTCCGCCTCCGACTCCTCCTCCATCCCCCCCCCTTGGGGTACGACGGCCTCCCCAGCCCCTTGTTCCTCTGTATGCTGCCCCGCTTCCATGATCACCTCTACTCGCCTGGGCGTCGTTTCTGGATGGGCTGGTGGGGATACGCGAAGCGTCAAGAATTCATGTTTCACTCCTGCGCCTGCTCGGGCTGATCCCGACCAACGTCCCTGATCAAGCTTACTCGCCTGGGCATAGTTTCTGCATAGGCTGGTGGGAACGCGCGAAGCGTCAAGAATTGCAACCACATTGAGCTCTCTAGCCGTCTCTTGAAGAAAGCCTCCCAAATGCAGTCCCAGTAAACAGTCTCGCATCGCCGACGCATCGGCGGGCGACGTATCGGCGCCGTCGGCGTGGGGAAAACTGGGTTTCAGACTGGGCCGCATCGCCGATGCATCGGCGACTCGGCGCGATCCTCCGACACCGTCTATCCAGATCCTATTTGGGAGGCCCGGAGTCTTGCAGCCCTGTTGAGTTGGGACATCTCCCGCGCTATCTTGGAGGCCGTTTTGGGAGAGTTCGTGGGCCGTCGCGGGCTCCCCTGGACGCCGCCTGGGGCCCTCTTGGGGCAGTCCCGTGCCATCTTGGCACCCTCTTGGGCCAGGCGGCCACGACGGGGTCGAAGTAGATAAAATCGGTGGATCGGGCCGCATCACCGATGCATCGGCGATGCAGCCCGACGTGAAGCCTTATTTCCTCCACGCCGACATCGCCGATGCATCGCTGACGTCGCCGATGCATCGGCGATGCGATGCCATCCTCTGACCCCATTTACTTCGACCCCATTTGGGCGGCCTCCACACTCTCCTCGGGCTTTCGGGAGCGCTCGCTGGATCTTCCGAAGCACTCTGGGAGCAATCCCCGGCCGAAGAGCGAGTCGCGCAACACACAACCGAACAGAGCACTTGCCTCGTTCTTCACTGGCATGGCCCATCCACGGATCCTCTCGATACCGTCTTCGCACCACGCGGGCTCCCTCCCGGGCGATCCCAGGGCCGCGGCGGCGAGCACGGGGATCGGCTGACCTGAGCTGCTTGCGCAGCACGAGGCCTGCCGGGGGGAACCCTCTGCTCGAACTGACGCGAGCAGACGGCCGGGAGAGGGCGCAGGGGCGACCCATCGAGGCAGAGGCCGAGCCCTGCCAGAGGCGGACGACGCACGAGGGCCCCAGCGGGAACGGAGAGTGAGCTGTGAGCGGAAGGGGGCAACACGGCTGCGGCTACGGTTCGGGCCTGAGGAGGCAGGAGGGAGGAGGAAGAAAAGGGAGGGAGGGAGGGCATGAGGGAGGAGGAGGAGGGGGAGGAGGAAAGGGTGGGTAAGGAGAAGAAGGACGACGACGACGCAAACGACGACGACGACGACGCAAACGACGACGATGACGACGACGACGACGACGACGACGACGACGACGGTCCGACAACGAGCGAGCGAGCAAGCGACGAGGGAGGCAGGGGAGGGGAGGGGAAGAGAGGGGGCAGGGTCGCGAGCGGGGGCGGCCCTGCGGGCGTAGCCGACGTACTCGCCCTCTGGGGTGAGCTCCCAGATCATCACCTCTGGAACGGGGGAGGAGGGAGTGAGGAAAAGGCCAGAGAACGAGAAAAAGGGAGGAGAGAAAAGAGAAAAAAAAAAAAAAAAAAAAAAAAATGAGGGAGGATGGGAAAAAAGGAAAGGAGGAGTACGAGGAGGTTCCCTGAATGTTACCTCACAGGGAGACTATTCTCTCTCTCTCTCTCTGACTCTCTCTCTCTCTCTCTAACCTATGTTTACCCGCGTGCCCCCCCCAGACAGTGAGGGTTGAAGTCTCAATGGTTAATTATGTGTTGCAGGCGATGTGTAACAATTTGACGGATGCCATATACGCGGTGGATATGGAGTAAATTAAATGTGATGAACCCGCATCCGAACGACACCGCCTCAAACGTTTGTGCAAACATCCCTCCCACCCACCCGCAACTTGTTGGCACAACTCACCGGGGCGCCGACAACACCAATTACGATATAACGTTCAAACCGACGGAGGGGGGCGATAACGACGACGACGACGATGGTGATGGCAATGAATAATAAAACGGTGGCCATGATAACACTAGCGATGAATGCGACGATGGCGCTTGTGGAGATGATGAAGAAGTGCGCGCGTACGGAATTTGACAAGGGCGACATCAACGATGACGGTGATGCCGACGGTGGTGATGATGACGACGACAATGACAATGATGATGATGAGGACGACGGTAGCACTGAAGATGCTGGCGATGACGATACCGATGGTGCTGATGACGATGGTACACGCGCGCAGAACGTCATAATGCCTGCGTTCATCCTTGGTTGCAAATAAAGCCATTGGGTTGCGTCTGTGGGTGAACACGTCGGTGCTGACATGCTTAGAGCGCTGTTGATGCTGGCAGGGCGCTCGAGCTTCTCGCGCGGAGGCTCGCGCGCGTGGCCCGCGAGATGGACGATGAGTGTATTCGGCTTGCGCGCGTGTACAGCCCGCGTGGTCTCAATTTCGGGGATCTTCTGACCCGGGTCAATCCAGACCCGGGTCAGCAGGAGACCAAGAACTGCAATGCAAGAAAAAAAAACTGCAACGCAGATCTTCGCAAACCCGGGTGTGCCAATACGCGCGGCCGCCTCGCGGCCACGAGCGGTTAGCTAACCCGGGTCAGCCAGAGGGGGTCTTAGCAGGATCCTGCAGGTCTGGCGCCCTGGCTGACCCCCGTTTGCATTGACCCCCGTCTCAAGGCTCCCGACAGTTGGCAACATTGCAGACACCGGCTGGCTGCGAAAGCATGAGTTCAGCAGGTGACCGCGCAGAAATCTGACAACTTCTCATGAAACCACAATGGTTTGACAGTTCTTGAACACATGTGGTCTGAACATGTGTAAAGCAACACTCGCAGGCTCCAAAAAAAATCAGAAGACTGAAATGACCAGACTGGATTGGAGTAGACTGGGCTGGAGCAGATTGGACTGCACTGGAAAGGCTGGACTGGCATAGACTGGACAGGCTAGACTAGACTGGTCTGGACAAGATTGGACTTGGGTAAGGATAGACTGAACTGAACTCGACTCGACTTTACACTCTACTCTGCTCAACCCGGGTCTACTCTTCTCTACTCGACTCTTAACTGCCCTTCTCTACTCTAATCAATTATACTCTCTACCCGACCCTACTCTACCATCTATCCTACTCGGCTCTAATCTGCTGAACTCTACTCTACCCTACCCTACCCTACTCTACCTACCCTATTCTGCTCGACTGTACGCTACTCGACTCTGGTCTACTCGACGCTGCTCGACTCAACTCTACTCTACTCTACTACTCCACTCCAGTCGACTCCACTCCACTAGATCCTAATATACTCGGCTCTACTCCATAATACCTGGCTCCGCTCTACGATCTGCCCTACTGTAATCTACTCTTCGCTGCTCCCCTCTACCCCACTCTACTCTTCCCTACTCGATTATACCTTACCCTGCCCGAACCTACTCTAGACGAGTCTGCTCTACTCTAGTCTACTTGACTCTATCCTGCTCAACTCTACTCCACGGTACTCTACTATGTTCTAGACTGCCCGACTCTACTGTAACATCTACCATACTCGGTGATACTCGAGTCTGCACTAATCTACCGTATTCTACTGGACCATACGCTAATATACTCTGGTCGACCGACTCGAACCTACCCTATCCTACTCTAGTCTACCTACTCAAACCTCATACCTACCTGCGCCAACTCTATTCGACGAGTGCGACTACGACAAAGCCTGCAATGACTACTACTACTACTACTACTACTACTACTACTACTACTACTACTACTACTACTACTACTACTACGACTACGACTACGACTACGACTACGACTACTACTACTACTACTACTACTACTACTACTACTACTACTACTACTACTACTACTACTACTACTACTACTACTACTACCACTACTACTGCTTCCCATATTCTCTGGGTTTTTGTCTTCCCCCCTCCCATATTTCCCCATATTTTCTGGGGAATCGAGGATGAATCGTGTCTGTGTCTTTTCTTCCCTCCTGATTCTTGACTGCCCGAGGATGCCGGGGCACGCGAGGAGGGCTGCGCGGGGAGCGTCCTTCTTGTCGCGGGACCCGGAGACCACGAGGCTGCTCTGCTCGTAGGTGGTCGCGATGGAGGTGACCCAGCCTCGCGCGGCACCGCGGGGGGGGCGCGGCGCTCCAGGGGCCCCCGTGCCTGCGCGCGGCGGGCTCGCGTCGCGAGGGCGTCGGCTTATAATGAACGGGCCCGGGGACACACAAAGAAATACATTCAAATTAATGTGTTCCCCTTATTTTCCCATATGTTTTGGGTTTTCGTCTTCCCCCCACTTCCCATATTTTCCCATATTTTCTGGGCAATCGAGGATTAATTGTGTTTGTGTGTTTCTTTCCCTCCTGATGTAACACCGCGCGGATCGCTCGACCTTGGAGCTTCCGAGTGCCAGATCGTTCCAAGTGAGCCGATTCTGGGCCACCAGCGGGAGGGAGGGGGTGACTACCTACCAGACCACCCCAACCCAACCCGAAGACCCGAATTTCGGGTGGGGGGGGGGTACGGGTTCCATGTGTGTTTTCTCGATGTTTCCCGACCCCCCCCCCACTGGAAATCGAGGGTAAATCTGAGCCTTCGGGTTGGGTTGGGGTGGTTTGGTGGGTGGTGAGGGGGGTGCGAGGGCCCGCGCCGATCGG